AGACAAGGGAGGTAAGTCAGCGATCGAAATTTGCCAACCGGCTCTAAACTTCAATCTCTAAGACACCTTTAACTTCATCCAATGGACATCACACTCCGTACAGCTTTCGATCAATACCTATTCTCACTTACCACCAATGTTCAGCCTCCAGTGAAAAATATTTTTCGAGATATTTTAGTCAGAAGATCAAAATACTCCAGCCTACCGATGGACGGTACTTTCAACTCGTGCACCAACGGAAATGCTTCGCTCTGGGGTGAGAGGACGCGATGTAATGTAGTTGTAGTTTTCATAAAAATCGCAATGTAATACACCGTTACATCGGTGTCCGCATTCTGTTGGAGTTCTTAATTGTCTATGCGAACCTCAAATATTCAAACTGAAATTTACTACTTCATCATAACAAGAATTCAAGAATCCTTGCTCTCCCCGCTTCGGCTCAATTATGGGCACCCCAGAGCGAGGCATTTCCGTTGGTGCACGAGTTGAAAGTACCGTCCATCGGTAGGCTGGAGAATGTCTTACTTTCAGCGCACAAATTCTCTAAAGTTTGTACTTGACGATAAATGCGATATACCGCGCACAGTTTAAAGTATTTTTTCTGTTCCTTAAAACAAAAGAGTAAGATCTACTAAGTGTAATTCACGTAATATAAACGTAACGATATACTGAATCGCCTTATGCAATATTTCACATACGTCCATGGACGTAGCTTTGTATAACTTTGGTAAGTACGCCAGCCATGACGTCAGAACTCAAATAATCTACGAAAAAAACCCTAGAGTTTTGCATATGTTTGCAATACGCACTAAGTTAACTCAAAACACGACAACATGACTATTATTTTAAGCACTTGCGCAATAAATGCTACGCCCCTTATATCTTATATTGACAAATAGTGCCATCCTAAGAGTATTCTAAATTATATCAACATACTGTATCTATCTTAAAAGTTCTAAAGCGAGATTCGCCCTCCTACAACATCTCACCTGACAGTATGTTGACAGTACAGCCTTGTGGTTATTCTTGTATCTATCATGTTCTATCTACACTCACTCTCCTCATTAGCAAATCACATGACAGTATGTTTACACCTCTTTACATTAACTTATCACGTGATAGTTTATGAATGGTGTACCAATGTTGAAATTATKAAAAAAGAGATTTAAAAAACCTTTTCACTGGTGAGAAAACCTTCTTTTGTACGAACTGCTTTATTTTTGAAGCATTCTTGTAGCAGCAACCCACTGCGGCTCCTACAAAATGGCCTACGGTTGCACCAATTGCACCTCCAACAATTTTTCCAACAGGTCCAAGTGCAGAACCAATAAACGCGCCTGCAGTTCCAAGAGAAGTGCGGCCAAATGCTTTTGCTGTGTTGCTGACAGTGTTGACTCTAAATTGGCGTTCTGTCATGATGTTTTGTTTCACCATTTTGCGGTCATCATAGATGGTTTTTCCAAGGAGACCTTTTATATACAACACATATCAATAATTAATACTGATAGTATTACGTACAACTTAGATCGTTCAATACTAAGTTTGAACAGAGTCTATTATCTATAACAATGCTCAGTTTTGCATACACATATCAATTGTTTGAAATAAAATGAAGTTAATGACTACAAGCAAACTAGATTAAAGAAAAAGTAAACCTGTTTCGATCAGACCACCAATGAAAAATCCAACAGGAGAAAGTGGACTTGAAATGAAGCCAGCGATGTCGTCGGAGAGGTTGGCAGTTACTTTGACCAAGGAAGGAGTAGCTTTTTTCGCTGCATATTCCTTAGATCCATGATAGACTCCGCTTACCCCTGTTTTAACAGCTTCCCAAGCGTTGTCATAATGTGGCTTCACTTGCAAGCTAACGTTCAGACCACACTTGCACCAGTTGACAAAGCTCTCGCAGTTGTTAGTAAATAAATTATACCACCTKCCTTCCTTTTTCATTCTGTCTTTAGCACGTGAAACAGCTATATTGGCTTTAAATCTTTCCAGTTCCTTTGGCCAAGTTCGCTTTTTGGTCTGTCGTCAAAACAGCACAATCAATAACGAGTACATTAAAATAAGACATGACTAATATGGAATTGAATATGGCCCTTTTTGAAATAGATCCAAGAAAGGATTCTATAGCAATGACCCTTGATGACCCATCTGGGAACAAAGTTATTACCTCTACTTCCGACAAAGTCTTAAAATGCAAGCACTTTTTCTTGCCACGTTAGGCTTTTAACGAGCGCTCGGCGACTTCCCCACGACTTGAAATCGATTGAGATAACTTTGCTCCCACTGATAATGATATTTTGAGAGAATCAAGAGCGAACACTTCTGATTGACACTGAAAGCAAACGTTCTCAAAAGCTTAATTATTCACTCACTATCATTGTAAAGGCATTAAGAAATGTGCTTCAAATTTTAATCTTATCTTAATAAGACATTAAATTTGAAAAATCTTGAAATCTAATCATATATAGCACATATCGATAACTGCTACGTACGGTGCTGACTGTACTACACCATTTCCTCTAAATTGAACTGGGTACGGTAAGTTCCACGTAGTGGGTTCTCGTTCAGACAGAGTTGCCTGCGGTTGAAGGACAATAGACGGGTGGAAATGGCTCAGCTTTGGTACTGTCTCAAGCAAGACTACTAAACACCAGCAAAAACTACTAAATACCTCTTTTTTTCTCTAGCTCTTTAAACGTTGTAGATTTGTTTRCGATTTTGGCAAACGCAAAAGGTTTTGAGCAGGAAGACGAACGTGAAGATGCTGCACTACCTTCCAACATTTCTCCCCAYCTTGGTCCGGTATACTCGATCACTTCGACGTTTTCATCTTCGACACTCACACACAAGAAATGGTGCTCGTAAGATTTTCCAAACTTTGTATCTTGGTAAAACAGATCATCACCAGGTTCTACATTCTTTTTTTCACTTTTCACAAGTTCGTCATTAAACTTCCCTTTACGGAATTTTAACAAAAACTCTCTCTTTTCGTCTTCGGTTGCTTTTCCTTGATTTAGCCAATTCACCGCTTCTGGAGGCATGATAAAGTCTTTGCGAATACTATTAGTAAATAAGGCTAAATATTGACTTACGAAGGGATTTATGCATGAGTTGATAACCATGGCTGGCTTAGCAAGGGGAAYCCCCCAACAACCTTTTTCAATAGATTCTTTTTTCSGTTGACCTCTCTTATGGTGAACTGTATTCACCCAGATTCAATTGTGGATCATTCTATAGCACGTAATTGTTGGGAATAGGCACTCGTGAGAATCACATGAACATGTTAATTAAGCCACATAGTTTTGCTTGTTGACATTACAGCTGTTCTTATTTTAGATTCCAATGTAATTAGTCTTGTTTTCAGGACAGTATAATTTAGTAACCTCGCCGGTTAGTTCTCTCTTTTTCTTGATATCTTAGGGTGAAATAGTTTGATAGAGTCTCGACATTGTGAAGTCAGAATTAAGTCGTTTGTGTCAAAAGAATCATCGTCGTTCGTCGTCTATACTTGAAGTTCTGGAGGCTCCTCTCGACTAACTTTAAGTCAGAAAAGTGAATTTTCAATATTAATTCTATGTGCTTTGCTTCTGATTTGTTGTAAATGACATTCAATTAGATAGATATATAGTAAGATACTTTAATATAAAAACTCGTGCAGTCGGTTACCAGTTGAATTACGGTATATATATTTACAATATTAGGGACTGTGC